ATATTGGAGAAAAGACAGACTCTTTAACATATGATTCTTGGTAAACTGGATATCCATTTATAGATGATTGAATCTGTATTATTCATTACCCTATAGAAAAATAAATACAAAATGGATCGAAGACCATTTTGTATAAGACATGAAACTTTGAAACTGCTAAAAGAAAATATAAGGGAAATAGTTGAAAACATAGTTAAAGACTTCCTGATTAGGACTTCAGTAACATAGGAAACAATGGCAAGAATCAACAAGTGAAACTACATCACATTAAAGTTTTTGTATAACAAGGGAAAAACAGTTAAGCAACAGCCTACAGAATGGAAGAAGCATATTAATTAGCTACTCGTCTGATAGGGAATTAGTATCTAAAATACATCTAGAATTCAAAAGAAAACCACAAAATCAAATAGCCCAGTCAATAAATGAGCAAATGCATTAAACAGACACTTTGCAAAGGAAGTACAGATGGCCAATAAGCATATGAAAAAATGTTCATCTTCCTTACCCATTGGGAAATGCAATTCAAAACTGCATTGAGATTCTGTCTTCAATCAGAATGGCTATCATTAAGAACACAAAACAATAAATACTGGTGAGGATGGAAGGCAAAAGGAGCCTTCTGCACTGCTGGTGGGAATGTAAACTAGTGGAAGTTAGTATGCAGGCTCCTTTAAAAATCATGGCCCATTACCATTTGATCCAGGGATGGCATTCTCTGGTGCATACCAACATAATTAGGACGTACTGCAGGGATATCTACATGCTCGGGCTTTGTAGGGCGCAGTCCACGGTAGCCATGCTGTGGAGCCAGCCTAAGTGTCTGTGAATAGATGAACAGATAAAGAAATGTAGCGTATATGTCCAGGAGGCGTTATCCAGCCGTAAGGCAGAAAAGCATTCTATCATTCACAGGAAAATGCAAGCATCTGGAAATCATCATGTTAAGTGAAATCAACCAGACTCAGGAAGATGAATAACACGTGTTCTTCCTAATGTGTAGACTCTAAAAATGATAGCAATAATTATTGTAAGGGAGACTGGTTCAATAGTTATTAAACAGGAGAAAGGAAATGAGAGGTAAGGAGAGAAAATATAAGGGCCAGTGATGGGATGGCTATAAGCAAAATATGTGCATTGGAACCTCCCAAAACTGTTAAACTATGGGGGACCTGAAGCAAAAGGAGTACTAGGGGACATGAAAATGATCAAATTATGTCATGTGCATGTACAGACCTGCCCAAATAAAACCCATTAATCTGTATAACCAGTGAAAAAAGAGCGACAAAGACATATCAACAGAAACACTGACCCAAAAGAAACAGGCATAGGAGTAAGAGAAAAAAATGTCTATCATTTGTCCCTTGGGAAAGATTCAATACTGTTATACCCATAAAACAGTAACTACTTGCTCTTGTTTTTTTTTTTTAAAGAGCTAGGAAATAAAGGAAATGAAATCTGCTAGAAAGTAGAACAAAAAGACAAAGATTTATAAAGATAAATGAAAGGTAAAAGGCACAGAGAATTGATTCAAGAGGCAGAACATCCCCTAATGAAGGGCCTGCTGATAACAGAGTTCTGGGGAGGATGTTCTTCTCTGGGTTGAGCTAGCTGGTCCCGTGGAAAGCTAAGCTAGTTGGCCTCTCTGGGGCATGGCTGTGGTGGGTGGGCAATGTTTTCAGCCCTTGGAATTGCCTGCCAAGCAGGTTTATTAAAAAGAATCATGTTTATACTATATATCACTTGGCCGTTGCATTTTTAGGGATCAAGGTGTCTTTCACTTCCATTACTAATGATTGCTTTGCCTCACCAAATGCCTTGTTAACTTTAAAGGTCACCAGCATTTCTGAAAATTTTAGAAATTTTAGAAATGTCAGAAGGCATTTAATCATCCTCTTTCTCCTTCACTCAGAGAGCTGCTGGTGTTCTGAGCCGGACCCTTTCATGCTCTCAGAAAATCATCAAAGAGGCTGTGAGAGCAGGAGCGGTGAAGAAAATGATTAAATTCCTGAAGGTGAAGTGACTTCGCTGGTTACAACCTCCTAAATTTCCAGGAGTCTTTTATTTTATTCAGGGAACAGAATTAAGCCCTCCCTTGCCCAGTCCATGTGCCACTGTGTCACCCCTGCCAGAGTTGAAGCTTCCAGGTTATTCTTTTCTGCCTGTCCACCTGGATAACGCTCTGAACATCAGCAGAAGGCTGTTAAATATATAAGCAAGTGGTTGTTTAGATCTATAACAACTGCTTACCTCCCACACTTCGCTTTAAAGCATCTGGCCTCCACCCTTGAACAAAATGGCTCCACTAGCTCTCTGAGAAGTTCTTGAGCTTGTTGTTTTGTTTGTGGATTCACAATACTCCATGTAGCTGTGTGGAGAGAGTTAGCTCGAGCCCCCTTCATGAGGTCAGGAGGTCGCAGGGCTATAGTGTGACCCCAGACTGCTGGACTTTTCCTCATGAAATGAGTGTTGTGGCATCAAGCCAGTGACCCAGGCCCAGCAGGACAGGGAAGTGTGCTGAGTGCTGCTGAGACATGGAGGGTATTGAGGGGCCAGGGAGGAGGCTTGAATTTAGGTTGTCACTTCCTCTGCATAACTTTTGTGACCCTGCCAGAGGCTGCTGATGGCAGGAATACGCACGTGCGTTGTGTGTGAGTACACCCACACACACAACATGCAGTTTTAAAGCCCTTCGTTGGGTATTTTTAAGGATTACGATTTGAGAGGTGTTACCTCCTACAGTGATGTAGGTTCATGAAATTCTTACAAAAGACAACCCCTAATGGCCTTAGCCTGCCAGCCCTTTCTCAAAAGGTGAAATGGCCCAGCAGACCTGTATCTGCCATCTTGGTAGATCTGCCATTGATAGCACCCCTGTTCTCCCAGCCACTCACACAGGGGGTGTCAGATAAATGACAAGCCTGCAGTCCTAGCTGGTGTGGGCTACGTTGAGGGGGCTCGCGACAGCCCCTCCCTGCAGGCGCCAGTCCTGCGTCCCAGGCAGCACATACCATCCTCATTGGGATTGTCTTTCAGACATTCCCAAAGCCCACTAGACCTTTGTGACAGCTCACTGTGGCTTCCGGTCAGGAGATGTTGTGGCACTGATTGTCCTTTTCTGATTTCATCCTGCAATCTAGACAGGAGGCCAGAATGCATCACGGTATGCCGTAAAGATACTAGCTGTCTGCACCAGTAGCTGCTGTGAAGCTCGGGAAGAACTAGTAAGACTGGATAAAAGTAAGTGACAGTTTCCCGAAGGGCACCCATGTTCCAGAGGTTAGTCCACCTGGCAGCCTCAAAAACGGAAGCGTGGCTTGGGAGTGGGGAGGAGCTTGGCAGGAGCGCTTTCAGCCTCCCTCAGGCCTGCACTGCTTTCAGAGCAAGGCGCAGCTCTCCTCGGTTGAAAGGCTTTTCAGTAGGCTTTTAGCTGTGCACAGGTACAGCACCTGCGCAGGAGGCCCAGCCACCAGGCAGCTCAAAGAGAACAGGATCGAGGCTGGGAAGTTGTTTCCATGGCAGCATGCTTATACTGACCTAGCCTGGCCCTTTGTATTCACAAAGGGAAGAGGGAAAAAACTACTTTCAACCCTTGGTGCACATGGGGAATACAGGAATCTGAGCCTGCCTTTTTATGACTTACATCAGCTGTAGCTACTCGCAGCAGGGCTTTCCAGTGAGGCAGCCTGCAGTGTACCCCCTAACACTTCTGATAGTGACTGAGTGGGCCCCATCGTGGGACAGAAAGCTTTTCTTCTGGAGAAGTATAGGATGCTGGCATACTGCCTCCACCTTGGGGGCCGGGTGGGATCTCCCACTGTGGCGGGCATGCAGGTTGAGTTCAGAGCCTCTCCACAAGACAGACCAGCTGGGCACATGGCTTATTTGTGCAGCAACTGTGTTACGCTAGGTGCTGCTGTAGGCACCCAAGCAGATGCAGCAACATGGAGGGGAGTTGAGGAGGGTCGCAGCACTCAGTGCGTATTTGCTGGCAGTGTAAGCACGCCTTCCCGGGCTCCATCTTCCAGTAGGTCTCCAGCCCCTCGGGCCTCTGGTGCCTTCTGTTAGAGGATCGAGAGGAGCTGTTGCTGCCCTCCTTTCCTTATAGAGTTCAGTGTTCTGCTGAAGCTGCTCAGCTCAGAGGATGAGGTTCTGATGGGCAACGCCGCCCTCTGCCTTGGCAACTGCATGGAGGTGCCCAACGTCGCATCTTCCCTGCTGAAGACAGACCTCGTGCCAGTGCTGTTGAAGCTGGCAGCTGGAGATTCGCAGAAGACAGCCGTGCAGCTGAACGCGGGCATCGCTCTCGGGAAGCTGTGCACGGTCGAGCCCAGGTATACTGTGGCCACCACAGGCACGGGAAAGGCCAGTGTTCCAGAGTCCCCTTTAGCACGGCCCCCCAGTGACAGGAATCCCCACTGGGCCCTACCTCCTAAGGGTTCCTCCACCTTCCGAGGGTGCTGTGGGCTGGGCGCTGAGCCCTCAGCATATGGACCTTGGGGAGAGTTTAAAATCCAACTATATACCATCCTCTCTCCTTTACTTTTTTTCAGAAATAGGCCAAACATTATATATATATGTAAATATGCATGCTTGTGGCTGAACAAATGGAGGGATGTCCAGAGAGGGTAACATTTTCCTACTGAAAACAGAATGAAGAAGCAGAAAAGCATGTCCGGGGCCACTCGGCAAGGCAGGGCAAGAGACCTTAGCTTGAACTTTGTGCATGGTTTCTCTTTCTGCTCAGACTCCTGCTTTGCTCTAAACTTACTCGGATGTGCGTGAACATCCCCAGGAGCATGTTTCTGCAAGGCATTGCCTGTGGCCATGCCACGGAGCCTGGCACAGACCACATGCCTTTGGGGATAGGTAGGGGATAGCTTCTTCCTGTACCTCTTAATTTCTTCTCTGTAGAATGAAAGGGCCGACTTGGACGTCATCTGACGACCTTTCAAGTTCTGTCTGACTGATCAAATGGAAGGAACAGATAAAATGTTTCTTCTGCAGAGAAAGAGCAAGGCACATTAGCAAGCCTGAGCTCAAAGTGGCAGCCTGCTGGGGAGGTCCCCAAGAGCACGGTCCCATCTGATCAGCCTGTCACACCTGCCACTTGCAGCGAGAGTGTTTTCAGTGACTCATGGTCTCCCTGGGAGACTCACCTACCCCTTTGATCTTTAGGGCCGCCCAGTGCCACTTCCCCTCTCCACTCAGAGTGGTGGGGCTGGCGTTCCCAGCCGGCTTCTGTCTAGAGGGAGATGGCTGTGAAGCATGGCATTGATGTCCTGGATTTTGTGGTCTGATTACAACAGGTTCACTGTTCAACTGAGAGAGCTCCATGGGTTGGAAATTCTCAACTCTACGATGAAATACATCAACGATTCTTGAGAGACAAGGTGTCTGTGTGCAGCTTTGCAAGCACACACTGTGTATTGTTGGCTGTTGATGTGCTAATAAAGTCCTTTATTAGAATGTCCTCTTCAGTATGTGTTGTCAGAACATTTGTCTAGTGGGATTTCACTGGTAAGAAGACAACAAGCGTCTGGTGGCTTCTGTGGTGGTAAGTGTGTTCAACATCCATCATTCTTGTCGCTGGTTATTCTTTTTACAGACACTGGAAACCAGCCAGTGAAAAGCCCCACTTCCCAGGCCCTCTTGCATCCACAGTTCTGTAGGAGAACTTGATTCTTCCAGCCTTCTTCTGCTTCTTGTGCTGCTGGTTCTTTTCTACTGGCAACATGCTAGAAGCGTCATGGTTTGGCAGTGGCATGTAGCATCTGATGGCCAGATCTGAGTGTCTCAAGATAGTAGTAGTGGCCTCAATGGTGGTGACAGCTTCCTGAAGCCCCCTGGAGCTGTGGCAGGTTCTGATGAGCTCAGTGGGTCCAGTGCTCCAGGGGTGGGAAGTAGCCCCGATTCCAACTAGAGGAGCTCTGTGCAGTCTCTCTGTACACGGAGTCATTCCCAGATGTTCCACTCAGTGCTCTTCTCTGGCCAATGTGGTGGTAGTGCACGTACCCTATTTTGTGTGTCAGTTCTCTGTTAAAATTCCACAACAGAGGCTTCTGTTGATACACTGAACCCTGACTGATACAAGTATGTGTTTCCCTAAACCACCTTGCATTTTTATCCCATTCCCGAACTCATCTCTCTCTATCATTGCCCTAGGACCTGATTAAGTCAAGGTTGCCTATGGGTTCCAAGTCCCTAACTGAAAAGTCCAATGAGTGGCATGCTGTGTGGCTTCTCAGAACAATCAGTTGATTATTTTAGGTCAGGAGATAGGAGCTGTATTGTACATGGAATGCTAAGAGTCCCAGCCAGGATTCCAAAGAATGGCATCTCCTGCCACCTACCCCTGTGGAGTGATTAGGGAAGGTCCATAACCTCTCTGAGCTTTGGCTGCAGCATCTACAAAATCAAGTGCAATTCCTGCCCACTCTGCCTCTTATGTTGCTACGAAGGTTAAATGAGGATCGGGAGGTCCTGTATCTTGGATCTGAAATGTTCTATGAATGTCCATGTGTGAAAATGTCCTCCTAGTTTGGAACTGTTGGGTGTGTTGAGCAGGGATTTCTATACGGAAGCTTCCGATCATAGAAAGTGCCCTGCTGGGTTGTTTGCAGCTTCAGTTCCTTCCTCTCGCTCTCTTGCTGTCTGGCCCCAAGGTGGGCAGCTTCCTCTATAGTGTGCTCCCTGCAGCAGAGGCCTGAGAGCTCTGAGTCTACCAGAGCATGGGCTGTGAGACTGCGAGCCGCAGCCCACCTTTTCTCTTTGCCCAACTATGTGGAATATTTGTTACAGTAATGGGAAGCTGACAGTGTGGAAGGTGAATGTGTGATGGGAATTACGGTGCTGCATAAATATAACCAGGATCCATCTTGATGTTGGGGTGGGGGTGGGGTGGGAGTAGGCTGTGACATCAGCTGGGTTAAGGCTGAGGGATCTGTGAGTGGGTTTGCTCATGTCCTGCAAGGAGTCAAAGCTGGACATTTTCTGAAACATGCAGGAAAAGCCTTCCTCCTGCAAGGAGTTTTTTTTGAACATACCTGAAGACAGGTTCCAGAACAATGCAAGTCTGTCCTAAGGGACAGAGATGGTCAACTCAACACTTGGCAGTCTCAGAGGAACTCAGAGGCCGTGGTCCCCTGCCTCAAGCCCAAAGAAAAGATTCTTCCCAGACAAGGCAGCTGTTGGCTTACATTAAGACTTTGGTGCCTGAAATCCCAATGGATGGATAGCATTCTGGGGTGTAGAAGAAAGCCAGCAGCCCCCAGCCCCTCAGTGTGGGTTATACACTGTGAGGAGCTGGCATGAGCTCCCTGGAGTACTCTGTGATGGCACCAGAGCGCTGCCCCTGGGAGACAGGGGACAGGCCAGAAAGAGAAATCAGGCCCTGCCCACACCTCACATCCTGCACACAAACACCCTCAAGAGGCTACACAGTCATGGAGGGAGATGACTTGATGCTAAACAGCACAGAGAAGAGAATTGTAGGGTGCAAAATAGGCTGTTTTCAAAGTCCACAGAGCTTTGAAAATGGAAACAACTGCCTGTGTGCATCACTGGCTTGTCCCAGATTTGAAGTTCAGGTCCCTCCTCCTGCTCTTTGGCTGCACCCCTCTTCTCTGGCTCTTGAGAATGGCTATGACAAGTATTACCTCACCCCGAAAGTGGAGAATGTTCAATTGTGTTATTATTTGTGCTGCAGAGTGCCTTCACTCAGGAGAAGGCTCTGATGCGCAAGGAACACACTTCCTTTTGGAGGTGCGAAGTCTTCTATAGTGGGCTCTCCATTTCCAATGCAAGCTCCCCACACCTGTATCCTATAAGCCCCACACATACAACAATGCCAGGCTTCCAGGCAACATGCAAAAAAAAAAAAGAGAGAGAGAGAGGTTTCACCTGCCAGGAGCCAGTGGCATTAGCCACAGCACTCTGGGGCTACAACTCAGTCAAGAAAACCAGTAGGCAGAGGAGCTGGAGTGTTTTAGAGGATTTGGTCAAGGCGGAGCTCAGTCGGCACCCTTGAAGTGACCACAGAGGTGTTTGGCGACAGGCAATAAACACTTGGTGCGGCAGAAGAAAATCTCTGCCATCAACGATGAGACCACAGTGGCCCCAGTGTTCAGGAAGGTGGCACGAGGATTCAATAAGGAGAGGAACTAACAGGAGTGAGTGGGCAGGAGGGAGGGCTGCAGCCCAGGGGTTGCACTTGAGGGGTTTTCTGAGCAAGAATGTTGGTTTGGGGAATGGAGTGAAGGACAACAGATCCTGGAAGTATTCTGAAGCCAAAGACTTTTAGTTGTACATGCCTTTGTAAACCAATAGTTCACATTTTCTAAGTGGGTCCGGTCCAGTTAGAGGAAGGAACACTGAAGATGAAGAAACTGCATCTGAAACTCACTGCCCAGTGTGGCAGGTCTCTGTCCACACAATCTGGTGTCCTGCAGGCCTGGAGAGGAAAAGACAATAGACCCTGCCAGTGCACAGGGAATCTGCTCTTCACTGGAGCTCCGGTTGCTTAGCAATCTTGGCCCCTAGAAGCCTCACAAGGACCCTAAGAAGCAGGTACGGTGTCCACCTATGGGCCAAGGAATGAAGAGAATCAGGGGTTCTTTACCTAGGGTCACATAGCCAGTAAGTAGGAAGGTGAGACTTTGACCCCCAGTTAAGGTGTCTGTAACTTTCTCTTTTTCTCCATTACTAAATATGGACTTGAGAAAGGTTATCTAATTTCTCTGAGCCTCAGTTTCTTCTCTCACATGAGGATAACACTGACCTCAGATTCTGTGGCTGAGATGTGATGAGCACGAGGTGCCTGGCATGAGTGACTGAACACACAAGGCATTTACTTAATGGTGACTGTGTTAGGTCAGAAATGCCCATGAACCCATCGCCTTCCCCTGCCGCCCTCACAGATCTGCTTATCTTCATGCCTACCCCTTCCCACCGAAGGCAAGTACTGCCATAGGCCAGACCCCAGGTGCAGGGGACGGTGCTGAGTGCCCCAGAGCCCGCTCCCCAAATGCTCCTTTCCTCTCCTCCCTCTTCATTTTTCTTCACTTTAGAACCCGAAAAAAGCTGTTGCTTCCAATGACTGCTGTTCCAATAACACGTTCATCCAGATATCATGCCCTGCCAACCATCTCTGCGTGCAGCTACCCCCAGCCTTGGGTCTCCCCAGTGCTGGGTCTGTGCTCTGTCATAGGTGGGTTGCAAGGAAAGGATTTGTGTGGCTGTGTGCTGGCACACCTCAGCCTAAACATCACTCCATTGTCACCTGTCTCACTCCAGCCTCACCTATGTGCTTTGAGTCATCCACAGTTCCATCTGTTCATTTATGCTCCACCCCTCCCCTCCAGCTACAGCATATGTGCATGCACAAACACACACACATGCACGTATGCACGCATGCAGACACCTGCCCACACCGAGTTCATCTCTGCTGCTGAGAGAGGAATTTTCCCGTGAAAGTGGGTGAGCTGACGTGCAATGGAGATTTAGGCTAGACCAAAGACACAGCAAGAGAGGCCAAGCTGAGTGTCCCAGCTAGAGTGTCCAAGCTGAAAGCTATTCAGAGGCCATCTCTCTGGTGTCTACTCTATTGGCACCCATTTGACTTCACTGGCTTAATGCTATTCCTCATGGACTTACAGTGTTGAGCATGCAAGTCCATCACACAGATGCAGAAGGCAAGACTCAGAAAGGCCTGGTGAGCATTCCTCTGCATTCTTTCCCTTCACTGACAGCCTTTGACCTACCAATTTGGAGAAGGGCAGGATCTCAGGACCTGGAGACCCTGGGAGGCATCACCCTGCAGTCAGAGTACAGCAAACTCAGCACCATCCTTTTTAACTTCACAGCCTCAGTGAGTTGTTTTGTCCATTGATAGCTTTGTTTATAAAAGGTGGGAGTCAGGGAGGGACAATGCCTACTTCATGGGTGTGTCGTGAGGCTTGCAATGAGATGATCTCCTTGAGGGTCTCAGCACTATGCTTAACACGCAGCCTATTGATGCTGCTGTCATCACCCATCACACCGGCCTCACTGCTTCTGTGGATGCCTTCCCTGCATGTTCTTTCTAGAGATCTCAAAAGGAGGCTTTAATCGGGCTTGGAAGGTTTCCTATATGCTCTACCCCAAAGACAAGTGGCTAGACTCAAGGTTCAGTGTTATCCAGATAGGGACAGGCCTACAGAAGTGGAGGCTGGGCTAGTGAAAATGCAGGTGGGAGAGGCGCAGACCAGGGACAGCAGGGGAAGTGGTACTGGATGTTACTGAATTTTGTGCTACATAATCAGC